AAATAATGTTATTACAATTATTAATATTATTATTCGTCATAATTTATGCCCTTCATGCAAACATTCTCTCAATACTTTCGAATTTTTCGTTTATACTTTCCGAACTTATTATTAGTGATATTATCTCTTTTCTCAATATATGCCTCTACCTGTTTCATTTCACATATTCGTTATCTCATTATGAACCTCCCATTGCAGTCTTACTATCTCCTGTTTAACACAGACCACTTTGTACTAGCCACTCACCCTACACCTTTTATTACCTTGAACTGACTTGTCAATTTTCCTACCCCACACTCTACAAATCTATTATGATTAATCATCATTGTCTTCCGTTTTACAATATTTTGTAATCGAATTCAGCCTAGCACGTTTGTCACACAAATACGACTATTTATTCTGACATCCCATAACTAATCTGTTATTCTACGTTAAAATGTATCTGCCGCATAACTGGCCCTTATTGTAACGACAACAAATATTATATTTTATAATTGTAACAACATGAAGAAAAATTATTGAAAAGAATATCCTTCGTTCAGATTGACTTTTATTTCATAATATGGGAATTTTCCACACTATCAAAGATCCCAAATAACAACATTAAGTCCTAAAATGTAGATGTAGCCTTCCGGACAAAAAATTGAGAACATATGTGAACGGTGTAATTGTCTAGTTGGTATGGTGTAGCTGCAAAATGTGCATCGAAGTTACATAAGATACATGTCAGGCTCAAAATCTGAATAGCTATGAATTATTTGAATTTTGAAGTTAATATTTTAACTCGGAAAACTGCTGTCATATTTACATGATTATGATGATACTACTTATTTTTAGTGAGTAATAAATCACAGAAATGGAATAAATGATTTATTTGTAGAATGAAAGTGAATAATCATTTAGAACAGCAGTTTATGGGAATAGTATGGCAGGAATAATTGGCGGCAGTCCCCTAAAGGGTATTGTTTTCTCGACGTAGTGAGACGTTTTCGAAGAACTTACCTATATGAACCACGACGCCTTCACCTACCATAAGTCCACTTTCCTTACCGTCGGCAACATCCTAACAGTGGTGGTGCCACTGAACTTTAGATCCGGAGTTATTCTCTATTTTTGCACATCTGTGGCTCTTTCACTATGCATGAGTATTACTCACAATAAATGATGTTATCGTAGTGGCTGTTCGATTGTAACTGATATCTTTCAGCTTTATCATATCATATATCACAGCTTTACCAAACATTTGTATTTCATCATATTAATAAGTTGAATGGGTTTAGAGTCTGCTTGTCCCAAGTTATTATTATTATCTCCTTTAGTTCGAAGAGGAATATAGGGCTTCAGCAGCACCTCTTCGTTGCATTCGGTTCCACGACAACGTTTTCACCTGGCTCCACATCCGTTTACATGCTTTCATCTGCTCTTCACATCATCTCCTCCATGTCACTGTCGCACTGACGACCAACTCGCCGCTTCCCATTCGAGTTCCACTCAAGCTATGTCCTGGCATGTGAGGTCACTCACTTGATGGTTTGTTTTCTCAGAGTATGGCCAATCCATCTAACTCCATTTATTCCTGCATATTTTTTGCACAGGTGGTTTCAGCTGGGTTGGTTCTCTCCCTGGCCGGACATCTTATCTTCAATAGTATTGAGTGAAGTCAGCTGTTGATGAAGGTCTTTAGTTTGCTCGAAGTGCCCTTCGTGACGCAGCGTGGAGTCAATTCTCTGATCCGTATAGTAAGTAGCACTAACTTCACACTGGAGTTGAAAATCCGGATGTCATTTCGCATGCTGACTGCTGTCGACCTCCATACTGACTTGAGAGTAATGGAAGCACGCCTTGCTTTCCCGATCGTCACTGTTTTGATATCCTCATCAGTTCCGTCCGCCTGTGATTGGAACGATGCTTCCCAGGTCGGTAGGTAGGTAGGTGGGTGAAAGAGGTTGCTACTTTCAGATTTCTAGCATTTATGCTGATTGTGATCTGTTGTTGTTGCTGTTGTCCAGGAATCTTCATCACCTCTGTTTTCACTATGTTCACTTGAATTCCTTCCTATTTTGATGATTCTTCTGACAACTTGTTGCTTTTCTTTTGCATATCTCCTAATTTGTGGGAATTCAGACATATATCATGCCCGCCCCACAATGAACTCAGAAACACTATTGACAGTGGAATAAGAAGGAGTATATACATAGAAAACCCATGTGAACGGATCAGTATATCCACAATTTGGGCTTCGTGCGCTTAAAATAAAGTGTTTCGTCAATAGAGCACGAGAAATTCGCTCTAATGAATGCCTCAATTGTGAAACAGTTACTGAGTAAAAATGGCTATCTAGAGAAATTCATTGACAAGAATATGAATTTAAATCCAACGTGGCAAGTTAATACAACCGTAGTTCAGAAGGAGACCTTATTCTTAAGACTTCATTTTGTTGATGATAACATCAGTGAAATAATAACCCAACGCTTAATGAATACAGTAAAAAGAGCATTTAGCCCCTCTGAATTTCAGTTTCTTCAATGACCACTACTATTTTATGTTCGGGAGTTAAGAATTATGATCATATCATTCTTCCCTTGGGTTCCTACTGGAACATACGGATCCAAAAGCACGTCTCCACTTTGTCCTATTCTCTGCGGTATTCTTTTTAGCTGGTCTGGTTAATGACCATAGTTTCTCCTCTCCTCATCGCACGATCCCCTCAGTGTCGCTGTTGAACCAACACCCAATTCGTCGTTCCCCATTCGATTTCCACCCGAGCGATGACCTGGCATGTGATGTCATCCAACGGTATCCTCAGTGGCATGTGTCCAATCCATCTCCATTGTCTTCAGAATAATTGTTGAGGAGTACGTTCATGGTCGGTTCATTTCCAGAGTTTCTTGTTGCTAACTCTTAGTGGCTAATCATTTGATCTCCAGTATAGGGACAGAGAACGTGGTAGTTGTTGAATAAAGTCTGTAGAAGCCTGTTCGAAATGTTTTGCATGACGCACGCGCAGTACAAGTTTCTGACCCATATAGAGGAAGCGATTGATTTGATCCAAGTGTTGAAAATCCGAATTTTTTCTTTATGTTGAGTGCGGAAGATTTCCAAACTGGTTTCAGGTCAATGAAGGCGTATCCTATCTTACCTATTCTGACTTTGACATCTTTATCCGTTCCACCTGTAGTTGAAACTATTCCACCTAGATAGGTGAAGGGAGTCATCCCTTTCGAATTTTCTTCGTTGATAGTGATTGGTTCTGGTTGTTGCTTTGCTGTTGGTTGGTTGGTTAGCTTCATCACTCTCGTCTTCTCTATGTTCACTTGAAGTCCTGTCTTCGCTGCCAGCCTCTTCATCTAGTTTGTTAGTTTTCGTCTGTAAGTCTTCGAATTTGTGTGACACTAAGCACAAATCATCCGGGCGCGAAATCCAGATCTTCTAGAGTCTCTTTACCTGTCCAGAGTATTCCTATCTTCTCGCTCTCCAGTCCACTACAACTAGGAGTGTAACTACAGAAGACAAGGGCCAGGCAACAGATTGTTTATTGAGAAAATCAAGAGGTATTCACAGATTTTTATGTACATTATTATTAGCGGAGAAACAACCTCTTCTTACTGGTTGTTTTCTTGCTGGAGGTTATCCTGTTATCTCTTTTTTCTAACAGTTTCTCAGAAAATCAAGCCATATATCTACGAATCATATCTCCACACGTTAACTTTTCTGTGGTTGTTGGAGATTTCCTCAAGGTTAAGCTTTGTTATCGCTTTTCTCATGATCCTGATTCGGTACGTCAACATTGACGTAAATTGTTGTCTACAATTCTGGCTTGCAGACAGCTCTCACCATCATCAGTGAAAATAGACACCTTCGTCTTACGCCTTACGTCACTTCAAACACTTCGCTGAGTTAAGAACAAACTACCTAATATTACCTCGAATATGTGTATCTATCATTTTGACAGCTTCTGTAGAATCAGTTACATTGGGCATACAATTAAGCATGTTTATCATTGGATTTCCAAACATCGTCCTGCATGGTTAAGCAAGGGACAGAAAAGGTCCTTTTTGCATCTCTATTCTAATTCACCTCTGAAGATATTAAACACGATGCATTTAAAGTTATCAACCGCATTTCGACTCATCTAAATTTCGTCTTACTACTTCGTCTTTTACATTTTAGGCTGAAGCCGTCAAAATCCACCTACTAGATATTATTTTTAAAAAATCAATGTTGTAGAAGTGTGTAGGTTAGCACTTCTATTAACAAACCAAGTATTTTTTTAACATAACACTTCACAACATAATATTAGCTATACTCTTAAAACTGTAATTTCATACGGTACGAAATACTCAGCATATTTCATTGTATAGTATTTGCATCATGTGAAGGACCGGCTAGTTTTCTAGCTACAGAAACTTCAACGCATAAATATATTAGAAATGTAAACAATAACCTTATTTTTCGCTGGAATCAGGGAAGTGAAATACCGCAGGCTGGTGAAAGCCTTCGGGAAGCCAGTCAGATGATGTGCCTTCTTTCGATGAAAGCAAAAATAAGGATGGGGACGTGGAATCTTCGTACAGTGTACGAAGCTGGAAAGGCAGCCCAGGTAGCCCCAGAAATGAGAAGGTATGGAATAGAAGTGTTGGCAATCTGCGAGAACAGATGGAACGGAGAGACAGTAATCTATTCCGGTCACCCAGAGGACAACCACAAGCACATCGAGGGAGTAGCCATCATGATGTCACCAACAGCAGCTAAAGCTCTCATGCAGTAGGAACCAATCTCCTCCAGGATAATGACAGCTAGGTTCAACTCAAAAGGAAGGAAGGTTACAATCATTCAATGCTATGCGCCTAGAAACGTCTCAGAACAAGAGGAGAAGGAGGATTTCTACAGCCAACTACAAACAGTAATAGACAACGTCCCAAACGGCAATATTAGAAGGATCTTGAAGTAAAATAATAACCCCAAAAAAGACTGCCAAACATGAAGAATACAGAAGTCAACTGTGTGTGTGTTGTGAACTTGTCACTTATATGCGAATTTATTTATTTTTTTATTATAAATATAGGCAGATGGGTATTTCTATAACAATTCGAATGTATGCTGACTCAAATGTGTGTGTGTGTGTGTTGGTGTGTGGGTAAATGTATATAAATGTGTTACGTAATTTGTGTTACACAGAAGATTAACGACACATTCACAGTCAAATGGAATTCAGTTGGTTTTTGTTTCAGTTTTCTTTTCGTAGTTTCCTGATCATCTTCTTCGACCGAATCTGTAATTAGAAATAAAAGAAACAATAATAGTACAATATTATTTGCATGTATTGACGTGAATGAAAGGTATTCAGATAAACGATGAGATTGATTGAATTAAACTGAAAAAATCTGTGCGTTTATCAACATAAGTCAGCGTCAGAGGTGTTTCAACTTCACTTTCAGTATAGACTCCAATGCTGATCAATATGGGCCATCTACATCATTTAATTCAATTTTAGATTTTCCCATCGATTGACTGGACCTCGAAGTGCTCGGTCTCAGGTGGACATGTCTGTTGGCTTCTTGTGCAGATGCTTCGACGATGTTTGGGCATTTAATTAGAATTTAATTGGTGGATGGTGACTAGCACTGGAATCCAGGATGTGCATTTCGTCCTATCTGCGACTCGTCACCCACTGGATGTACCTGCATTCCCCAGTGAGAGGTGATATTCCCACCGAGGTTTGAACTTAGTGCCCATAGTTTCAAACGCCAAAGCGTTTTCCACTAGACTCCTTGGGCCACAGGAGTCACCTTCTTGTCCGTTTGAAACTATGGGCACTGGGACCCAGCCTCAGTGGGAACATCACCTCTCACTGAGGAATGTAGGTCCATCCAGTGACGAGTCCCAAATAGGACGAAATCCGCATCCTAGATTCCAATGCTAGTCACCATCCACCAATTAAATTCTCATTAACATCTACAACATTCTCCAAATTCAAATTCAGTGCATGTCCCTCGCTGACAAAGACTACTGCCGACTCCCTCCCCATGTTCAAGGACTCCCACTGTGGGACATCAGCAGTGATTATGAACTATGGAAGTTTCACAACTAATGCGTCATGAGCCGCTTCTTACCACAGGCTGATTATATGCACATCATGTTGTCTTTGACTGATGATGCACTCCTCCGAGAGACTCCTGAGGGATTACAGCCAGTTAATAAGCTTGTAAACAATTGGAGGATTTTGGATGATTCCTTCAGATCTGACAGTATTGCGTCTACCTACACAAATTCCTTCTTGAGCTGCAAGCAATAACCTGTTGAGGAAGCTTCAGACTGCCTACACTAACCCAGACAGGTAGTGTCCTGAGTTACCCAAGACGAGTTTATCTGTGCACGCTTCATCGAGGGGCTTCTAGCGTACGACTTGGAATGTCACTTGATGCGTCCACCAATAAAATTTCTGTTGGAGGCTCTGGAGGTAGTGTCAAGAGATTCCTCCTTTCGCCAACTGCCAGCTTGTCGTGCTACTCCACAGACTAAAGATCACTCATTGACACCAGCTCATGAAAGTCTACAGTACTGTCCCCTAGAATGCTCCAAAAACGAACATTCCCTTCGAAAGATGTTACTGAATAGTTTAGTGATGTGGGCACAATAAAAGATCATCAGCTGAGCTAACTCTTAATGTGTCATCGCTTACTCAATCTTTGAATGGAAATATATTAGCAAATCAAAGGCTAGACAGCATTGTTATAGTATGATCTGTACGCGATCAGAGGAATTCATGAACTCATCTGATCTCCAGACGTCTCACCTTCACCAATTAACTGATATGCTTCTAATGGGGAAGATTAGGAAAGATATATGGTGGAAAATAGGGTTTTCAGAGGACAAGTGAGTGGTGGCTATATTCTATTAAGTCAGTGCATCCTTATGATCTGTGTATGCTCCCTCATCTAGGTACATCCTAGGACAGTTACACGTCCTAGGGTTATAGTGGATTTAGAAATACAGCCTAGCCATCAGATATGTGTGAGCTAAGCTAAATAACCGACCAGCTGTATGGTCAGATCTTAGGTCTAGCACGTAATTTCTACTCAAGGTTGATTAGAGCAAGAGTTCACAAGTATTCAAGCAGTGTAATCAACTGGAGGTTTCATCGATTGCATGATCTCTAAAGGAATTCATATCTGAACGTCAAAAGTTTTGGATGGTTAAAATGAGGAAATGGCGTATTCGTTAATGCGCAGTAGGACAGTCTTTTCAGTCAAATGCTTACAGGTAGTCCTTGGTTATTACCATTAATGATCATATCTGTTGAAATTTTCTTGTAAAATTCCAAAAGAACTGTTATTATTATCAAAAGTCAGGGAGCTTATAATATTAATTTATGAATATTCCTCGTTTGGTTTCCAAGTGGAACATAAGACTCTCTGCAGTCCTCTTCAGCTGGTCCCACGTTTACTCATAATCTTTCATTTTATCCTCATAAGATCACCTCTATATCGCCTTCACACCCACTGACAACTTCGTGTTTCCCGTTAGGGTTCCCCTGGATGACTCGGCTGATACGCGATGTCACTCAACGTTCTCCTCAGTGACGTGTGTTCAGTCCGCTAGGAGGTTCGTGATCAGATCGTTCCCAGAGTTTTATATTGATTATCCTTTCTCATAAGCTACCTGATCTTCAGTTTAGAGTGAAGGCAACTGTTTCAGTCTGTTGGAAATGCTTTTCGTAGTGTGCGAAGTTGACTGACTTAATATTTGTGTTGAAAATCCGAATCTTGTTCTTTCTGCTGACTGCCGTAGATTTCCACACTGACTTTAGACTGATGAAGATCTACGTCGCCTTTCAGATCCTGCATAGCTATGACATCCACATTCGTGTCCCCTGCTTGTAGTTGATACGATACTGAAAGAAGTTACCTTCTTTAAATTTCTCCAACTGATGGTGACTGGTGGTTGATCTTGTTGTTAGTCGGCGGGTATGTTCATCCCCTCTGTCTTCTCTGTGTTCACTTCAAATGGTGCCTTCGCTGTTTCCCCTGAAACTTGTTGGTTTTCCTCTATGGTTCTTTGAGTCTGACACTAGACATAAATCCCCCCCACAGAGTCCAGATCTTCTACAGTCTTCCTATTGGTCCAATATATTCTTGTCCCCTAGCTACCCATAGTCTAACGCAGTGAGCTACACGTTTCTATTCAAGGATAGTTTACAAATATTCCGGTATTTATGAAAATCAGTGAAGTTAAGCCAGAAAGTATTATAGATCTTACGATTATGTATGATTCCTTAAGCCGTCCATTTGAGAACTAACGTGTGTTAATTACTCTAAATGCAAACTTGAAAGCAATGAAGTGTCTGTGAACAAAGTTATCAGTGCAAAGAATACAGATTTATTATTATATATTATTATCTCCTTTAGTTCCTAGAGAAATATAGGGCTTCAGCGACACCTCTACATTGCATTCGGTTACCTAACAACGTTTCTCCCTAGCTCCACGTCTGCGCTCATGCTTTCATCTCCTCTTCACATCAACCTCTTCCGCCGTATCACCCTTGCACTGGCGACCAACTGACTCTCCACTTCTCATTCAAGTTCCACTCGAGCTATGGTCTGACATGTGATGTCACTCACTTACATGGTTTGTTTTCTCAGAGTATGGCCAATCCACCTACCTCCATTTCTTCCTGCATATTTTTGCACAGCTGGTTTGTGCTGGGCTGTTTCTCTCCCAGGGATCCCTGTTGCTGGTCTTTTCTGGCCGGCCATCTGATCTTCAATAGTATTGAGTGAAGTTAGCTGTTGATGAAGGTGTGTAGTTTGTTCGGAGTGACCTTCATGACGCGGCGCGGTGCGAAGCGGAATCTCTGATCCGCATAGTGAGTAGCACTGACTTCACATTGGAGTTGAAAATCCTCCCCTTGCCATCTTCGTCAATTCTATCAGCCTGTAGTTGAAACGATGCTTCCCAGGTAGGAAGGTAAAGGATACATGTCTATTAGTGTCTGAACAGTTGCTATGTGCAGGCTTTAAAATCTGAAAGGACAGTATACATTCACTATGGACTAGTGGTAATTCCATTTCGCTAGTCACAGAGGTTTCCTTTACATGTTCAAATTTATACTACTTATTATGGAAAAAGTAGTGTAAGTCCATCTGCTCATATTACCTGATTATCTACAATGGTTCATTCACACGATATCACATCGTGTTTACCGTGGGAACATTTTGTCTGACATTATAACCTCGTATCCCACGACTGAAGTGTACTTCCATTTTAGCCCTAATTTTATACTCTGTATTCTTTGGAACCGTATTCATTCTAAGTATTTCACTATATCATGAGCTGACATTAGTTAGAGAACCATTGGAAAACCAGCTGGGAGTACTGGACAACTGTTTCGTCCTAGTTTGGGACTTTTCATCAGTACACACCCACCGAGGCTCGAACCCAGGACCTTCTGGTTACAAGGCGAGCTAGCTCGTAGATCAATAAGCCACTGGAACCCAATCCAATGGCCCATGAATTCTAACTTCTGCCAATTCACGATATAGCGCGACTCCTAGCCAATGTCTTCGGTGGTGAATATTTGTCCTCACACCCGACCTACTCCAGTACTCCCAGGTTTTCCAATGTCAGCTCATGATGAAAATCCTGTAACCAATCAAATCCCTACAAACCATCACTTGAATATTTCACTATATTTTGCATGGTCGCGCCTTTGATTGTGGTTTGTTTTGACACACTGTCCAGTTGGATACATATTGTAGTGGTTCTGATGATATTAAACTGAGACATCCCACGAAAAAGGATTTCCGCTTTTTTAATTCATTATTTTACCCATGAATATAGTACCACCTCTCAGATGAAGTGGATTGGTCTTAAGCGTCATTCTCTTAGACGCCATCTAAAGCGTTAACCAGATGACTTTTTCAGTTATAAATGGAAGTCCCTAAAGCGCTGTTCTAATCTAAACTTTGATTTATTTCTAAGAAGAAATTTCATAGTTAGTCCGTGTGTATTCTGTGATTTATCTTCGGTATATTTATACATGTGTAAAACTTGGGCATAATGATTGCATATAATTCCATATTAATTTGTTTATTAGACATATCACACAATTTATTCGTGTTCATAAGCATATCATCAATTATAATCACACAACTTCGAAACTTCAGTTTTATAGTTTTTTTTCTCTCCTGTAGTAGAACTTTGCAGATATCAAAATGGACAGGTGCTGAATCATTCCTGTTACACGAATTTGCAGTTGATTCGATAAATAAAGCTTCTGTTATCAATCTCTCCTTCCACCCTGCGGTTGCATTAGATTTTAAAATTGTCATCCTATCCCAACCAGCCTATTGTATGGTTGTGTTGTGTGTAATTGCATGTATTGAGTGGTATAGCTGAACTATTCTCCAGATTTCTTATCTTATTCGGGTCAACTAATCTAGATTTTGCTAGGTTTTTATGCTCCTCTAGTCTGACTGCCCCTGTTCTACTAGCTTGACCTATGTATTTGACCTGACAATCATTACAGCAGGGTATTAGATGAACTAAATTGTTCCTTTAACCGAAAAAAGCTTGTTTCCAATTGAGTTTGTGGGTGGTTTGAATTCCAGCCACTTTTATTCCTGCCTGCAGTGTTAAGAATTCTCTGTCGTAAGGTTTCCGAGGTTCCTTCTTTGTTTGGAAGAACTACTGATGGTTTACTGAACTGGGTGAGTCAGACTAGCGGAGAACAAAAACTTACCGAAATCTAGATTAGTTAACCCGAATAAGATAATAATAAATCTGGAGAATAGTTCAGCTATAGCACTCACTACATGCAATAACACTCAACCATACAATAGGATGGAATGAGATGGAAGTTTTAAAATATAATGTAACAAGGTGGAAGGAGAAGTTGATAACCGAAGCCATGTTTTCCAAATCATCTGTAAAAAGGTGTGACAAGAATGATTCAACATCTGTCCACTCGGATATCAGGAAAATTCTACTACCCCTACCATAATCGGAAGGAATAAAGAAAGCTATAGAACTAAAGTTTCGAAGTTGTGTGATTTTAACTGATATGATTATGAACAACAAATTGTATCTTCAGTGTAATATAGAAAAATACACCATACAAAGCGTTTGGAACATGTAATTACAATAATTATCAAGTATCATAGTGAAAGTGGGTCAGAAACTTGACGCATCACCAAAGGCACTTTTAACAAGTTACTAAAGACTTGCATTAACAGTTGCCAACTTCGCTGCCCCCATGCTGAAGATCACATAACCAGTCAGAGAATGAGAAATAAGAAACTATGGGAAGAAACCAGTCGGAAACCTGCGACTTAACCAACATTCCGAAGAAAATGCAGATGGGTCAGAGATAAAAACACTCTACTGAAGAAACCGTCGGGTAACCTCATGCACCAGGCCATCACTTGCGAGGAACCTAAATGGGAGGTGACGAGTTGGGTATAGGTCCAAGGGTGACATGGGGGAGATTATGTGAAGAGGAGATGAAGACTTATGGGCAATCGTGTGTCCAGCCAGCTGAAAAGGACTACAGAAAACAGGACAAAACTGGGATGTTCTACCGATGCCCTGTGTTTCACTTGGAACCCAAAGCAATAATAATTATAGTGTACGTGAACCTCCGATTTATATCACTCTTCAGTGTTATTCAGTATAAGCTATTTAATGGATATAATCTCAGTAAACTTCCTTATAACTTTTTTTCTAAACTTTGCATGGCCGTTTCTCTCGTTTGGAAGCGGACTCATCAGCTATGTGTCACGTAGGACACAACTCAAAGAGCCCAATCATTTCAGACCACTTGAATTCAGGCTAACAATACAGCAATACGCTAAATGTAATTCACTGTTTGTAATTTCCACTGTTAGCGGTGAAATTTCACTACGGTTCCCGTTGGTAACCGAAATTACTCAGATCGGCTTGATACCGTGAATGACTATCAAGGAAACATGACGTAAGTATTTGGACACCGTTTAGATCGATCTTTAGTGCTCGCTAACCAGATTGAAGTGATCTGAACACTGGATGATTACTTCGTTCGTTTGGCTTCGAACTGCTCATCTCGCGTTCCGAGTAAAACATAGAGATCTATAAGCACGTCTCCACTTTCTCCCACCCTCTGTGGTTCTGTTTAGTTGGTGTCACTACTTCCCATATCTCTTATCTCCTGCTTGCATGATATCCTCTATACCATGCTTGAACGCCGTACTCATGGTTTCCCATTTTGGTTCTTGTCAAGATCCAGGCACGCGATGTGATTGGATGGTCTCCTTAGAGTGTGCCCAATCCATTTCCACTTTCTTCGGCATATTTGTTGAGCTATGCCAGAGTCTCTTGTTGCCAATTCTTTCTGGAAGGCCATCTGATCTTCAGTACTAAGGTAGCGAATGCAGCTTTGATAAAAGTATGAAGCCTGCTCGAAATGCTTTCTGTGATACTCTAGTATCTCACGCATAAAGAAGTGTGGTGAGAGCTGTCTGCAAGTAGAAATTGTAGACAACAATTTAGGTCACAGTTTGCTTCCCGAATCGGGATCGTGAGAAACAACAATAAAAAAGCCTGACCTTGAGAAAATCATCAATCAATCACAGTAGACTTAAGGTGTGCAAATACGATTCGCAGATATATGGCTTAACTTTCTAAGAAACGACCACAAGCAGTACAGAATAACCTTCAGCAAGAAAACAACCAATCAGAGGACGTTGCTTCTCCACTGACAATAATGTACATAAAAATCTATAAATATCTCTTGATTTTCTCAATAAACTAACAGTTTCCTGACCGTTGTCTTTTGTCGTAATAGAAGAAGTGGCTGAATTAACATTAGTGTTGAAAATACTAATTTTCTTGTTTACATTCAGTGGAGAAGATTTCTAGTCTGACTTCAGTAACAAAAGACTATTCTTTTTATTCAACCTTCCGTCTTTACCATTTATGCCATTAGCTAAGTGAGTTTAATGGGCACGTCGGCCAGGGATTGAACCAGGCACCACCTGAGTAGTTAGCAAGTATTCTACCACAGACACACCGAATCACGCTGTGGAATACGATTGATGGAGATTTAGGCCCTCCATGCCATAGTGCTGAAGTAGCTTCCAAATTACTTTTCAGTCAATGCTATTTAAGGCCTTTGCAAAGTCGATGGAATTGAGATTTGAGAGGTTTGAATACCATTCTGTGCTGTTTTCTATGATAACAATGCATACAGCTGCAATTTGATCCGCACATGTTTTATTATTCCTCAATCCTGCTTGGTCTGGTGGGCGGATTTCTACATCTAGTTCTGCATCCTTTATTCTCTCCAGAATAACGGGACACAGTATTTTACTTGGCATGGACAACAGCATGATTTCGTGCCAGTGATTGCAGAGAGAGACCTAATTCGCCCTTCTTCCAATCAGTAGCCACCTTTTCTTCCTTCCAAACCTTTTGTTTTCCATCTTTATAACAAGTTAATACATCAAGCCACTTTATGATCCCAATAATTTCGGTGTTTTGCCTCTCCTGCATACTGCTGAAGAGTCCCAAACTAGGCTAATGTAACAGCTGTCCAGTACTCTTAGGTGGTTTTCCAATGGTTCTTTAACCGACATCAGTTCATAATGAAATACTGAAACCAATCAAATCCCTGCAAAACCAACACTTAAATACACTAAAAAGTTAAAGAAAAAACAATCACAAATAAGCAGAAGAATCCCACTGGAGCATCATATTAGTAAAGACCTACCTTGGACGACCAATAATTGCAAAATATTCATTCAACTTGAGTAAATATGCTCTCAATGCTTCAGGTGATTCAAAGATTGCTGGTCTTTCAGGAGGAACAAGTTTTGCTTCTCTTGTTCTTATTCTTCGATAATCATCATTATTGTTATTATTATTATGAGCAGTATTATCAAGTAGGGCATTCATCATCATTCTGTTCACAGGCACATAATCGATATCAGCCTCAGAAGTCTTCCATTTCGATGGATACATTTCACCTTGTGCCTCACAAATAACAACAATTAATAATGTTAGGATATGAAAGTAGACTTGAGGATGTTTGGAAGTACTGGCTCTGTGTAAACCCAACATCGTATAAATAGCTGAAAGGTAATGAGTTTGTTTTATACAACAGAAAGCATAATTTAGTAAACAGGTGGATATGGATTTCTTGACAAAAAGCACCGAAATATCAGATATATTAAGTACACAATGTTCACCAAAAAGACTCTTTTCAACAATGAATTTATTATCAACCTGTACAATCGTATATATAAGTTCGTTAAGCTGCCACTGTATGAATAAACCACTCTAGCCGTCCACTAGTGCACCTTAATGTCAAAGAAATGTTACCTTGATTGTCTAATTTCATGTGTATTTAAATGTTGACTAGCTCCAGTGGAGCTAGGTGCATACGACTATCGTCAAGAAATACATCGCGCCACGTTCAAGAGCACCACTTCCCGCCGTAGTTCGGCTGAGCGAAAGAGAACGTAGAGGTATTAAGTCATCAGTATTGCAGCATATTGTCAATACTGTCACATAGCATCTAACACATTTAATATATATTTATATATATACGATTGTACAAGTATGAAAATGAAAAGAGAATTTTCTTTGCAGAATTCTTTGTTTATACATACATTACTACCGTCGTTATTCTTATCGCCACCTACATAAACCTTAGTATCATTCCTTTTTGTTATCATTATAATCATGGTTATTTCTGACGTTCAAAACATTTAAAACATCATTATTATTATTATCACTATTATTATTATTTGATCCACAAACTCACGTCACTGATTGAATTGTTTTATATGTAAAGCCATGTAAATTAGTATTATAAAAGTTTTTGTATTAGAGTAAATCCTGAAGAAGATCTAATTGAAAACAACAGTACTTTTCGTCTTATATATCTTATTCTAACATGTACTATTGTCGAATGGACCACCGATAAGAAGACTCTAGAACATCCGAATTTTACTTGTGGATGATTTATGTTTAATGTCACACAAACTCGAAAACTTACATGCGAAAAGCAACAAACTGGTTGCAGAAGCATGCAGCGAAGATAGGACTCCAGGTGAACATAGAGAAGACGGAGGTGATGAAGATAACCAACCAGTAACAACATCAACAACAACCAGCACCAATCACCATCAACGGGAGAGGTTCGACAGAGGTTATTTCTTTCACTTATCTAAACAGAATGCACGATTTCAACCACAGCCAGCGGAACGGATGAAGATGTCAAGGCCAGCCAGTCAGAATCAGAAAGGCAAAACACGCCTCCATCAACCTGAAAGCAGTTTGGAAATCTTTGGCACTCCGCCTTAACATAAAGAGCAAAATTTGAATTTTCAACGCTAATATTAAGTCAGTCAGTTCTTCCACATGGGTCAGAAACGTGTCTGGCATGTCAAGAAAAGCATTTGGAGCAGGCTACTGCAGACTCTTACAAATAGTTGAGTTCGCTGTCTGTAAACAGAAGATCAAATGGCTGGTGAGAAAGAATTAGCAACAAGAATCTATGTAAACGAACTAACCAAGAACCTGTCGCTCAATAAATATGTAGGAGAAAATGGAGGTGGATCGGACTCACATTGAATGACACCGCACTCCGGGCGATCGCTCGAGCGAAAGCCGAATGGGAAACGACGTATGGGGCATCACTTCAAGGGCGAGATGGAAGAGACCATGTGAGGGGGAGATGCGAGACTATGGGGAATCGTGGGCCCAGCTGAAGAGAACAGCAGACAGTAGGACAAAGTGGAGATGTACTGTTCCATGTTCCACATGGAACCCAAAGGAACAATAATAATGATGATAATAATAAGTAAAGATTTAAGTGTAAAATAGATGCTTCTGACGTAACTGTGTTTTCATGTATGGATCATTTAAGTGAGAAAAATTCATCATCAGTGTGGATGACATAGTTGGCGCTAATCATAGAAAGAGTTTATTTTTTTAGCCAATCTCTTCAGGGCTTGGCTATAGCTATGATTTGATTTTTCCGTTGCACAATATGAAGTTATTTACGAATATTTTAGGGAAAAATTACTGTTCTAAGTAAAAATTTGTATTTCAGCACCTAACTTAATATTAGTTTTTGCTCCAATGCAAAGACAACATACTGACAGACATCAAAAATAAATAATCTTGTTAATGCACACGCATTTAGCTTCAAAAATATCACAAAATAATGAACGACTGAATGTCTCGAAATCGTCAAACACTTTAAGGTTTCATGCAATTTATGAAAGTTCTAAGTAAGTATTCAGGAAGATAGGAATAAGTCTCCAATGTATTGATAACCTGAATTTTCTTCTATGTACTATAGACATGAAGCTAGTTGATTAGCTCATAAAACACTATCTATTTCATTATTATTATTATCACTGCTGTTAAATTCCAAAGAATTTCCATGGGAATAAAGGACTTCACGGTGGAGCGTTGAAGTTTCAGCAGCGATGATTTTTTGCCTTCAACAGTCACTAAGTGGGGTTTTCGGGTACCTCATTGGTCGGTAATCGAATTCCGGACCACTTGAGGCCTTGATGGTGAACAGTCTACCACCAAAGGACAGCGACTAGTCAACAAAAACTGAATTATGGATTTCATTCAGCTACAGAAGCAGTCAGAAATATTGCAGTCATTTATGTATACAGTGGGACCGTTTATAATAAAAGCTTTTGTATTTCTCAATGAATGAATGAAAAACAAAACGATATTTGTTGTTTTTTACTGACATTTGGCTATTTAATGCTGCTGATATCTTTATCATAGTAGCAATATTAAACAAGAATTTGCAAAATCTCCTCAGTTTATTATATATAACAATTTAATCATCGTTCCTCAGTATGGGGTCATTTCTGCGTTGTCAAGTTGGCCAATCGGTAAAGATAAAAAAACTGAGTGTAGATTGTTGGATTTGATAAGTGTATAAAATTATAAAAGCAGGATGTGTTTACATAATGAAATTGTTTATCACATTCGTGTTGATTTCGTCATTTTATGGCGGGTGGTGGGGGTGGTGTTGTGACCAAGTCAAATTCTGTTTCAGTCCATCATTCCTATTCAGAGAATTTGGATTCCATTTCATATGAGCTGCTTATCATTGATATTAGATGTTCTTTATGATTTCTGAAATTCCTCTGGATGATGATTTCAATACTGTCAAAATCAATATTGTGGCCTGATTCCATGGCGTGTAGACAGATCTATGATTGATGAATTTTCAAGCTTTCCTAGTTCAACTGGATTTCACGGTGGTCGAACAGAGTCCGGTCTACGGTGTTCATTTCTTTTTATTTTGATTACTAGCTGGCGAGATTTGTACAATGTATATCGCATCGCATTACAAGCAAGAATATTATTTTGTAGACACAATGAGATTTTGAATCTTTTAGAATTTGGTCTTTCACATGGACAAGGTTGCTTTGTAGTGTGTCTGGTGTTTCGAAGAGAACTCTGATGTTGTGTTTATTGAGTACTCCATTTCTGATATCTTCTGACTTCTCTGCTGTATATGGAATGACAACTGTTGAGATGCATGTCTTCCGAACACGTTTCCGACCATATTTTATGTCAGTGTTGGTTTTACTGATGAAGTTCTCTGGGTGGTTAATGTTTGGCAGTATTATTATTATTTCCTTTAATTCCTAGAGGAACATAGGCCTTCAGCCTTACGTCTCCGTTGTGTTCGGTTCTCTGCTAACGTTTTCACCTGGTTCCACGTCTGCCCATATACTGTCATCTCCTCTTCACACGACCTCCTCCAAGTCACCCTTGGATGACCAACTCGCTGCTTCCCATTCGGGTTCGAATGTGATATTTCTTCTTCTTTTTCTTTCTCAACCGTTATTAAAGAGTGTGCTCGTCTAAGAAGACTTGAAACAACTGACACCTTTGCACTGATGGGGAGTGATGATCTGAAGTCTAAATATTTGTTGGATTGGGTTTTCTTCCTGAATACAGGTATATTAAAATTTCTGTTTTCCCTCCTATTAACTATAGGTGGTATTTCACTGAAGTCTGATTCTGCCTCCGAAGTAAACTGAATGCTGGGTGGTAGATTGTTTATTTTCTCCAAGAATGAATTGTGTAGATGTCGTTTTAGCACCACAAAAGGATCATCTAGATATCTTTAGCATATTTTAGGCGTAAGCATGCTTGAAAAGATGTTATCTTCAAATCTATTCATAAAAAAATTGTTTATATTTATGGGAGTTTTATTTTCAACCACATCCCATAACCAAGATAAATTCAATGAAATGTTCTATGCAGCTGTCCGTTAGATATCTCAGTACGCAAAATAAAATATGAAGCTCATACAACATTCAGCCACTGGGACCCGATTCAATGGCCACCGCATGAATTCTAACTTCTACCAATTCATGATTTTAGCGTGACTGTCACTAAACAATGTCATCGGCGGGAACTCCAACCTCACTCCCGACAGGATGGACACCATTGGTTCTAACTTCTCACTAGAAATCCATGAAATTCCTTCCCGTAGGCAGTCACTAGAGAGCATTAGATTAATTTTCAATGGTTCTCTAACTCATATTAATCCGTGTTCAGACTTGAAAAATAAATCAATTCCCTACAAACCAACTCTTGAAAAAGAAAATACTATTAATTATAACAAGGTAGATGTAATTTATACTGTATTAATGAGTAACAGTACGGAATTACAGACATTGAGTCGTTACGTATATGGTATCCTTACTATTAGAAGCAACTGGCAGACAATATAAAAGGGATTGTTGGTATTAGATGGTTGGAGGCAATCGGCAGGAAGCCTTGGACCTAGGTTTCGTGCTAGTTGACACTCATCAGTAAGGTGTAACTGTAACCTTTAAGGAACTGATGTCCCTTCTGAGATTCGAACCCGCGTCACCCAGTACTGCAGTCAGAGAAGTTACCACTGAGCTATTCAGGCTCGCGACTGACCTCCTGTAGGACTGTATTGGATATTTTTGATTGCACACTAGTCAGTAATTAGTGTGCAATCAAAAATATATAAAGGAGACAAACCCCAGAACATTGTGAAAATGAACGAAAATATACAGGCTTAGGTAAGCGGTTCAAAAAGGTG